GTGCTTGTAAATCAGTCCTTGAGCGACTTGTGATACAGACTGCCTGCTAGTCTGCCAGTGTCCACCACAATAGGCATCACACCACTTCCCCAGGTTTCTGTTTTCCCATCTCAGCCTCTGTCTCTATGGAGTCTCCAGGATGTCCTCTGCCTCTGGGTATTTTGGTGCTTGGCAGAAAGGGACCCTCAGACAGTTCAGGCATTGCTGTAGCTTGAATGGCATCAACCATGGGAAATTGAGCACCTCCACTGTGACCAGCATCTCAGGAGTCTGTACCACCAATAACCTCTCTCTGTGATACTTATTTGCTTTATAGACTCACTTTAAATGAGAAGGAAGTCTTTATCCTGCTCGGATAAAATAGAAGTTAGTTTATATTCCTAAAATCCATTAATTAATTACAAATAGAAGAGCTGACATCACTTGCCAAGACTTCTTGGATACCTGAGCTTGCTCTTCTGATGGCACAATGAGTTCCTCCTCTACGGAAGAGGACAGTCAGTCAGGCCTAGACCTGTTTTGGTGAGATTTTGCTTTCTCTAAAATGTGGGAAGGAACAGAAGAGACTAAAGGAGTGGGAAGAGGCACAACAGGGACATGTGGGGAGAGAGATAAAAGGTGGGAAAATGCCCTCCAAGGGCAGGGGAGTCAGGCCCATGTTGCGGAAAGCCTGTCTCCTCCTTCAGCTGCAAAAAATTATTTATTAAGGCTGCTTTCCATTAGAAGAATTTTTTTTATTAGAAATTTCTTATTACTTTGACAGACTTTAACTGCATGGGCTGAAATAGTGGGTGCTGTGAGTCTGTCTCAGGTTGACTAGTGATGTACTTGTTTTTTAAGGGGGTTGGTGGAGCGTCTAGAAATTTTACCTGAAAGTTGCAGACAGGGAACATGGAATGGGAAGAGATATGAGTGGCTGAGGACAGCTCCACTTCACCAGACTTCTGTTTTTCTGTACCAGCCTCTGTCTCTGCAGACTACCAGTGAGGGATGATTAGCTTGGCATGGGAAATAAAAATACCTTTGTGATGAGCAGAAAGACGTGAAGCAGTGGCTATGAGATGGTGCTGAAGGAAAAGAACTGTGGCAAGAATATCACAGAATTACAGAATATGCTGAGCTGGAGGAGACCTACAAGGACCATTGAGTCCAAATCTTAGCCCGGCACAAGACCATCCCCAGTAGTTACATCATGTGCCACAGAATATCGTCCAAATGCTTCTTGAACTCTGTCAGGCTTGGTGCTATGACCACTTCCCTGGGGAGCCTGTTCCAGCACCCAACCACCCTCTGAGTGAAGAATCTTTTCCTAATATCCAACCTAAACCTCCCCTGATGCAACTTCAGGCCATTCCCTCAGTCCTGTCACTGGACACTACAGAGAAGAGATCACTGCCTGCCCCTCCTCTTCCCTTTACAGGGAAGCTGTAGATTGCAAAGAGGTCTCCCCTCAGTCTCCTCATCTCTAAGCTGAACAGACCAAGTGACCTCAGCTGTTCCTCATACGGCCCTTCACCATCTTTGTTGCCCTTGTTTGGACACTCTAAATAGCTTAATGTGTTTCTTATATTGTGGTGTCCAAAACTGCACACAATATTCAAGGTGAGGCCACCCCAGTGCAGAGAAGAGTAGGACAATCAGCAGGAGAGTAACAACATAATTTTGTCTGAGGGTCGTTTGAATAGTGGGCACAGTATTCAAACTCTCCACAGGAAGAATCAAAAATGCTGATTTAGCAAAAACATTTGTAGGGAAACAGATGATTTTAACAGAATCTTCCAGTCAGATAGTTCTGCGTAAAAACTTAAAAAATTGCCCCTAATTGTCCTTTTTTTGTTTTCTTTTAATTTAGATAAAAAAATCTAGTGGGTTTCTTGCCTTTTTTTTTAATACAGAACAATGTGTCACCCTAAATATTTACTTTATATGAAAGAATTCATAAAATGAAAAGGGCAAAATAAGAACATAATGTTCTGAAAATATTGAAACAAAACAAATAACAAGGCAGTAGTAATTTTCAGAACATTTTTAACCTGAAATCAAGCTGAGAACCAATTCCAAAACATCAGACTTGTCTCGGCTATGAAAAAACATTCACATCCCAACTACATGTTCAACTCTAATTCTGGAGTGCTCTACCATGCACATACTGGATTTTCAGTCTTAATAATAGTTTTTGCCTGCAGTTTGAGTGTGAGCTGGAAGCACACTATACAGGTGAGGGTCCAGGGGCTGTAATTTTGGCTGTACTGAAATTGAGGGGGTTGGCTGCCTTCAGCTTTTCACAGCAGAGACCTTCTTATCTCTTTTGTCTGTTAAAAAGAGAAACAGAACGGAAACATAGAGTAGAGGTCAAAAATATTTTGTGGGAGCCTCTGGTCCAGGGCAGATGGTAGGTGATAAAGATTTGGCCCTGATGCTTGGCTGACAAGCTCCTTCTGGAAGGGGCAGAAGGACCCATGAGACTCCCATGAGGCGGGAGACTGAGTTCAGGGATATCTAAGGACTTTGTTGTTACAAATGTTGCTTTACCATAATAATTGGTGGCAAAAGCAGTTTTGACTGGGCAGAGGCCAATAACTGTATGCAGCCCAACATTCAACTTGCATTCAGGTATTTTAATGAAATGCTTTCCCAGGCTGCCAAACTATTCCCCTTCATTAATAACATCTAATGCAATAGGCTAGTGGTTTCTTTTATAAGCCTATGTTTATATTTGCTCAACTGAAAGGACCTAGTTTTGACATATTTAATTACTGGTAAGAACCCACAATAAAAGCTTTCAGGTCTGAAGGATACCTCAGCTCTTCAGATGCAACTAGTAAATATTTGCTCTCAGGTAATACTTCAATGTGTGTGCTTTCATCTGCTGGGTTGTGGTTCCAGGAAGCCCTGACCAGGCATGCAGTTGCTAAATCCCTACATTTTATATATATATATATATATATAAATAAAGTGCTCAACAGCAAGGCACCCCTTACTTGATTGAAGCTTCATGTATCTTGGGCCAGTGCTATACAGCTGCTTGTATATAATATGCACAAAAATCACTGCACCTTAGTCATTCTTGTAATTGTGTACAGCAGCTGCTTAACCTCATAAAGTAACACTAAATTTCAAATTAGCATGTGAAAGTAAGTAAAGTAATAAAGCTTCAGGAATAGTTCTAAGGCAGAGTATGTTATATTTGTATTTTGTGTAATTCTAATGCCTTGCAGAAGTAGTTTTTTGTTAATAAAGGGATTTTGTTTGCTTTGTGTTCTTTTGTTAAATGCAACATATCTAGGCTGAAGGCGCTGAGATGCAATAAACCCAAACCATAAACAATCAGCACTTAAGGAGTCACTTTTCAAGATTTTCCACATTAATGAGGAAAATCTGTTGGAATTAATACTTACCCAATCCATCTGGCCGTGCTGGCATGTCTTGTGGTAACTTTCATTGGAGATTGTTGTGAAATGTTTACTTTATTGTTTTTCTTCTTCTTTCCACACATTTCTTTTCAACTCCTGCTCCCCCACCCTGACCTCACAACAAAGAGATTAATCAGCCTCTACCACAAGTGCTCTGGCACAAAAAGAAAGGACATGTTTTGCTTTGTAAGGAGAGAAAGTTGGTGATGATCCTTGGCTCCGATTTTGCAAGTGCAGACAAATGTGGTTGGTTTCCTGGGCTTTTGTATATATGAAGTTAAAAAGAGCTACTCACGTGAGTAAAATCAAACACTTACCTCAGTTTACAGAATTGAGGCTATGTTATCAGACATTTGGATGTTTGTTTGCTTTCAACAATTAATTAAAAGTTATGGAAAACTGCTTTTAATGTGCCATTAGGCAAAACATCATTAGAATTAGTAATCTATAAAAGGCATTTAAGTCATAGATAATTTCCAGACTGAAATTAATTCTGCAGCATTTTAATGACTGTGCCCCTGGTGTGTGTTCTGGCAATTCCAATAATTCTATCAGGCTGTTCTTGTTTTCTTGTCTTGCTGCTGCTGTTTCTAAAAGAGACTTCCAGGGAGATCACAGATGATACCAACATGGGTAGAGCTCTACTGATGTGCTCTTTAGGTCACTGAGGTAACAGATGGCAAATGTATTTAATTACCAATAATGAAATAATAAACATCAGGACAAATAACTCATACTTGGTAGCCTTGCATTTAACTAATACTCTCTCATTCTGTTATGTTAAAGACTTCTCTTCCAGGAGTGCCAAGGGAGACATTGTAAGATAAAAAGCTCTTGTTCCACTGATTATTATACAGGAGGGAAAATGCAGAGTGCCTCCTGACTGCAAGTAATAAGAATGGAATGCACTGGATTGTAAATCAGAGAAGATACCATCATAGCATGCAGCTCAGATGAGAGCTCAGCCACAGCGCTTTCTTACAGATTCCTGCGTTCCTTCCTTATCAGCCTTTAACACAGAGACATGAATAGATGCACAGACATGCTGAATAATATCACTTACATTATGTCTTGCCAACAAAAAAAAGAAAATGTACAGCTCCCCTGCTATCTCTGCCCTGTTAAGCACTTCTGTTACAGAGGAAAGCACTCTTCCTCTTTGGGTCATTTTATTTTTCATTAAAACAATCTCTTAAGTGAAGAACTGAGACTTAGAAGTGACTAAGGTTTTCCAGCACTGTCTAGTGTTCATGTTAATGTAGGTGCTGCAGAGGTATAAAACGTTGAGCCACAGGCTCCAGTTCCCTATGCAACAAGATGGAGAAGGGTTTGCAGGGGGATTCTTTCTATGTGCTCCCATTCCCATCTCAGCTAAATCATGTGGGCTTCAGACAGCACATGAACACTGTGAAGACAGTAAAACAACTGAGGTATGTAGTGCTCTGTGAACAAAATAGCAATCAAGTCATTAGGAAAAGAGAAATGTTCAAGACATTTTCAATACTGCCTTGAAAGAGACATTTTTTTGCTAGATGTATAGTCTGGTAGATGCCAAATAACCTAAAGGATGGGCATGCCCAGAAATTCGTCATCTCTTCCTCAAGTATAGTGTTTGATTTAATGAGACATTATCTCTCCCTGAAGACCTTGGCTCGTCAAATTACTTCTTCTGTGATTGATGTTACAATGCCCTTCCTGGACAGTCAGCTCCAAATGCCTTTTCCAAGTTGCCTGGCAGATGCAGTGCCTCTCTCCCTGCAGGGTGTCACGCTTTTGTGGACCTCTATCATTGTCTTCCTCAGTTGCTTCTTTTTAGACTGAGGGCTCTGAAACAATAAACAATACAAATTTTTTTCTTAGTGGGAGCAAATCCACACCTTTGAACATCTTCGTATCTGTTCTCTGAACTGTTCTGAATTCTATTACATGCTGCTGAAGATATGAGTAGTGGAACCACACACAGCATTCAGTTTCTGGATAAACCCTGTATTTATACAGGGACATAATGATGTTCTTGATTTTAGTCTCTGTTCCTTTTCCAAGAATTTTTATTATTCCATTTGCTCTTTTGACTGCTACTGAGCACTAAGTTGATGTATTTATGGAACTATTTATCATAATCTCAAAATTTTGCTCAAGTAGTAATGGTCAGCTTGGAAACAATCATCTTTCATTTGGAATTAAGATATTTGTTTTTCTCCTTTGAGGCTGACTTTATAATTAACTGCCCTGAATTTCATCTGTGTGTTATTTTCTAGTTATCCAGTCTCATGAGGTCCTCTTGAAATTGTTGAAGATTGCTCTTTTCAGCTACCCTGAATAAATAAGCATCAGAAATGTCACCACATTGGTGTTTCTACATCATTCCAAACTTGTTGAACACCACAAATCCCAGTGCAGACTCTTGAAGAATGCTACCTGTCAACTCCCTTCATGGCATAAGCTGACTGTTTGCCTCCAGTGCTATGGCTGCTCAGTTTCCCTAGAAATCATAGAATCAACCGAGTTGGAAAAGACCTCTGAGATCACCAAGTCCAACCCTTGATCCAACACTGCCGTTACTAGACCATGGCACTAAGTGCCACATCCAGTCTCATCTTAAACACCTCCAGGGACTGAGAATCCACTACCTCCCTGGGCAGCCCATTCCAATGTCTGATTACTCTCTCCATAAAGAATTTCTTCCTAATATCCAACCTAAACCTTCCCTGAAGAGCTTAAGACCATGCCCTCTTGTTTTACTGCTGGTTGCCTGGGAGAAGAGACCAACCCCCACCTGGCTACAACCTCCTTTCAAGGAGTTGTAGAGAGTGATGAGGTCTCCCCTGAGCTTCCTCTTCTCCAGGCTAAACAACCCCAGCTCCCTCAGCCTCTCCTCACAGGACTTGTGCTCGAGTCCCTTCACCAGCCTCATTGCTCTTCTCTGGACCTCCTCCAGCACCTCAATATCCTTCCTGAACTGAGGGGCCCAGAACTGGACACAGTACTCAAGGTGTGGCGTCCCCAGCACTGAGTAAAGGGCAAGAATCACTTCCCTGCTCCTGGTGGCCACACTGTTCCTGATCCAGGCCAGGATGCCATTGGTCTTCTTGGCCACCTGGGCACACTGCTGGCTCATATTCAGCTTCCTGTCAATCCAAACTCCCAGGTCCCTTTCTGCCTGGCTGCTCTCCAGCCACTCTGTGCCCAGCCTGTAGCGCTGCATGGAGTTGTTGTGGCCAAAGTGCAGGACCCTGCACTTGGCCTTGTTGAACCTCATCCCACTGGAATCAGACCATCTCTCCAGCTTGTCCAGGTCCCTCTGAAGAACCCTCCTGCCCTCCAGTAGATCAACACTCCCCCCTAACTTGGTGATCTGCAAATTTGCTAATGGTACACTTGATCCCCTCATTCAGATCATCAGTGAAGATACTAAACAGAACTGGGCCCAACACTGATCCCTGGGGGACACCACCAGTGACCGGCTGCCAACTGGATGCAGCACCATTCACCACCACTCTCTGGGCCCGGCCCTCCAGTTCCTAACCCAGCACAGAGTGCCCCTGTCCAAGCCATGGGCTGCCAGCTTTTTTAGGAGCATGCTACGGGAGACGGTATCAAAGGCTTTGTTGAAGTCCAGACAGACCACATCCACAGCCTTCCCCTTATCCACCAGGTGGGTCACCTGCTCATAAAAAGAGATCAGGCTGGTCAGACAGGACCTGCCTCTCCTAAACCTGTGCTGACTGGGTCTGATCCCTTGTCCATCCTGTAGGTGCTGTGTGATTGCACTTAGGATGATCTGCTCCATAACCTTGCCAGGCACTGAGGTCAGGCTGACAGGCCTGTAGTTTCCCAAGTCCTCCTTGCAGCCCTTTTTGTGGATCAGCATGACATTCACCAACTTTCAATCATTTGGGACCTCCCCAGAGAGCCAGGACTGTTGGTAAATGATGGAGAGTGGCTTGGTGAGCTCTTCCACCATCACCCTAGGATGGATCCCATCTGGTCCCATGGACTTGTGAGGATCCAGGTGGCTCAGCAGGTCACTAACTGTTTCCTCCAGGATTACAGGGGGGCTATTTGGCTTCCTGTCTCTGTCTACCAGCTCTGGAGGCCAGTTGTCCTGAGGACAACCTGTCTTACTGTTGAAAACTGAGGCAAAGAAGGTGTTAAGTACCTCAGCCTTTTCCTCATCTTTGCTGACTATGTTCCCCACCACGTCCAACAAAGAATGGAGGTTTTCCTTGCCCCTGCTTTTGCTATTGATGTATTTGTAGAAGGACTTCTTGTTATCCCTAACAGAAGTGGCTAGATTGAGTTCAAATTGTGCATTTGTCTCTCTAATTTTCTTTCTACTTGACCTAATTATATTCCTAAACTCTTCCTGAGTAGCCAGCCCTTTTTTTCATAGTCTGTTAGCTCTCTTTTTTCCCCTTCAAAATCTCCCTGTTCAGCCAGGCTGACCGTCTTCCCTGCCGGCTCGCCTTTTGGCACACTGGGACAGCCTGCTCCTGTGCGTTCAAGACTTGCTTCTTGAAGCATGTCCATCCCTCCTGGACTCCTTTGTTTTCAAGGGCTGTTTCCCAAGGTACCCTCTGAACCAGTCTTCTGAGTAGGCTGAAATCTGCCCTCTGGAAGTCTAGAGTAGCAGTTTTATTGGTGGCCCTCTTTGCATCCCTGAGTATTGAAAACTCTATTATTTCATGGTCACTGTGCTCCAGACGGCCTCCCATCACCACATCTCCCACCAGCCCCTCTCTGTGAACAGCAGGTCTAGCGGGGCCCCACCCCTGGTAGGCTCATTTACCAGCTGGAGCAGGAAATTATCCTCTATACACTGTAGGATTCTCCTAGACTGCCTCTTCTCTGCTCTGTTGAGTTTCCAGCAGACATCTAGTGGGTTAAAGTCACCCAAAAGAACAAGGGCTGGCGATTTTGAGACATCTGGCAGCTGCTTGTAGAATAATTCATCACCCTCATTATCCTGATTGGGTAGTCTATAACAGACTCCCACCAGGATGTCAGCCTTGTTGGCCTTCCCCCTGATTCTGATCCACAGGCACTCAACTTTATCATTACTGACTTCAAGTTCTACAATCAAGAGACTCTCTAACATACAGAGCCAGCCCTCCACCTCTCCTACCTTGCCTGTCCCTTCTGAAGAGCTTGTAGCCATCCATGGCAGCACTCCAATCATGCGAGTCATCCCACCACGTTTCTGTGATGGCAACTACATCTTAGCTTTCCTGCTGCACGATGGCTTCCAGCTCCTCTTGTTTGTTACCCATACTGTGTGCATTGGTGTACATACACTTCAGCTGGGCTGCTGATTTAACTTCTAACTCTGGTTTTCCACCCTTAGGCTCATCTCTGAAGAGCCTGGTTTCAACCCCTTCCCCCTTCAAACCTAGCTTAAAGCTTTCCTTGGTGAATGACCTTGCTGATAGTGTTAGAAATGCAGAGAGACTATCTGACAATCATTCACAGACGTCCACACACTTGCTGATCTGTCCAGACAACTCAAAGAAGTTTGTAGACAGAATGTGCGTTTGCGAAACTGTGCTGATGCTTTTCAAGTCTCCTCGTCTCTTCTCATGTTTGTTCCTGCTTCACAAAAGAGGAAGGCATTTTTAAGGTTGTGAGGTTAAGGAAATGCTGAGTTGGAAAAGTCAGTTTTGGTAAATCAAGGTTTGAGACCTCCTGCTTATTGAAGCATATTCTGCTGCTTTTATCCTCCTGCTCTTCAGTTTAGTATTGGTTTAACTGGTGGAGTCCTGTGTCCTTTACCTTAAGGCTATTAATGACACTATGAAATAAGACAGATGCCCTAAGATATGTAAGGGGACTGTCCCTCCAGAGTGACAGTTTTCCTTACAGCACACAGCTTAATGTCAGCTCTCCTGAAGCTGCCTGCACAACTTAGCAGTTCTTGCAATAATCCCTCCTCCAACTGAGTATGTAATCTTCCACAAGACTTTAGCCAGTTTTTAGCAAAGTTTGTTTCCTTTGCTTGCTTTTTAAGAAACCTTTAGTTTTTTAACATCAGATTGGTGAGCTGCCACTAGTGGGGTTCCACACGGCTCCATCTTAGGCCCTGTGCTCTTCGACATCTTCATAAGTGACTTGGATGCAGGACTGGAAGGGATACTAAGCAAGTTTGCAGATGATACAAAAGTGGGAGGCAGGGAGGCCCTGCAGAGAGACCTTGGCAAATTAGAAGGATGGGCAATCACCAACCAGAAGTACAAGGGAAAGTGCCGAATTCTGCACCTGGGATGGGGCAACCCTGAATGTTTGTATAGACTGCTTTCCACATGCTGGAAAGCAGTGCCATGGAAAGGGACCTGGGGGTCCTGGTCGATGGCAAGTTGAATATGAGTCAGCAGTTCCCTGGCAGCCAGGAGGGCCAACCGTGTCCTCTGGGGGCATCAGGCAAAACATCGCCAGCAAATTGAGGGAGGGGATTGTCCCGCTCTGCTCTGCACTGGGGCAGCCTCACCTTGAATATCGTGTGCAGTTTTGTGCACCACAACAGAATGAAGACATTAAGCTATTAGAGAGTCCAAAGGAGGGCAATGAAGATGGTGAAGGGCCTTGAGGGGAAGCCATATTAGGAACGACTGAAGTCACTTGATCTGTTCAGCCTGGAGGAGACTGAGGGGAGAGCTCACTGCAGCCTAAAACTTCCTCATGAGGGGAAGTGGGGAGCAGGCACTGATTTCTTTTCTGTGGTGACCAATGACAGGGCCCAAGGGAATGGCCTGAACATGTGTCAGGGGACATTTAGGTTGGATATTAGAAAAAAGTTTATTACCCAGAGGGACTTTCCAGGGAAGTGGCCACAGCACCAGGCCTGACAGAGTTCAAGAGGCATTTGGACAATACTCTTGGGCACATGGTGTGACTCTTGGGGATGGTCCTGTGCAGGGCCAGGAGTTGGACTTGATGATCCTTGTGGGTCCCCTTCAGCTCAGCATATTCTGTGATTCTGTGAAAAGGAATATGTTGGCTTGGTTTTGGTTTTCATAACCTCATATTCTCCAGTTTCTGTTTCACTCTGTCTTTCCTTAGGCTACCTTTCCTAATTTGCTCTAAAACCTTAAATGTCATTGAAGTTTGCCCAACATAGGTTTTTTCTACTAATTCACTTTTCTTCCTATAATTTGAATATGGACATTAGTTTCCTATTATCCACTCATATTGTGCCTTCAATAACTAGAGAAGTTTATGGAAAATATTTGCTATCAAAGCCAAGATTTCGTAGAAGAGAACCTTAAAAGTTTTGAGATTGAGTTTGTCTGATTTCTTCAATCCAGAATTCACAAAATCTTTCAGTTCTGCTTCCATTTTATTTGAGGTACTTCTAATTTTCATACCCTTAGTCCCATCTTCTGTCTGCTGGCTGCATTAGCATTTTCTTTAACAATATTTTACTTCTGATTTCAATTAGTTTTAGGTCCCATCTATTCATCCTTGTGGTATTAAAGCTGTCCTGACTTATGTCGCTGAACATAGCCAGTTGTTTATTTTCTGCTAAAATTTCACACTCATCATAATTCTCAAAAGTTTACACATCACCACCGTACTTATTTACTCCTAAAACATTGCTTCCTCTTCAATCTTTTCTTTCTTGACGGCTTCTTTGACTAACTGGGAAATTATTCATACAAAACTCATTCTTTTGTACATGTGAGTGCATGTTTGGATGTAAACTGACTCCTGCCCAGTAAACTGCTTTACTCCGCATTAGCTTGGTCCAGTAATAGTTTCTCAGAGTTCAGTATTTGGTCATGCTTCATGCTAATTTATAGAAGTTCAGCCTTGAGTAATACCCTTACTTAGCCTTTGGAGTGTGTAAATATTTCCCTTCAGTGTAACTCTATGAGTTGCTCTGAAGGATGGCAAAATTACATGGAAAACATGTGGGTTTGCACTTCTCTCTGAAAGGAATTAGGCTTTACACAGTTATTACAGGATTGTCTCAGTTTGACGGGAGAGAAATGTTTGCTAAGGAGGGCAAGTTATGAAGAAGACCAAACTCCTCCCTCTAAGCAATTGTAAATCTGAAATTAAGAGGCACAAGTCAAGGAAATATGGAGAAAGAAAAAATAACAGCCTTTATTAAAGGATATATGTGTGTAGGCAGCACAACAGAAGAACAAAACCAAACAACAATCCTGCACCCAGATTCCCACCAAAAGCAGTTCAGTTCTTCTCACCTTTTGGCACAATTCTAACCACAATCAGCAGGGGATGCTGTTGGAGCTCTGGTGGAGTGGAGGCTGTAGTTGCTCCCTAGTGGTCGGCAGGGGACGCTGTTGACAAACTCCATGTGGCCAATGGCAGCTCTCAGCTGTGCCAGATGGTTCGAGACCCCAAGGAGGGCTCCCAGCCCTCGGCCTCAAAAGGGGCAGCTAGCAAGGAACCGAGGTGTCAGTCCATCCAGCCAACAGCAGGGAGACCCAGAAAGAAAGGGAAAAACTCACAAGATGCTGGCAGTTTCCGTGACAGCAGAGGTGGGTGCTGTCCTGGAGGGGCGCTCTCTCAGTGGAGAAACCAAATGGAGCTTCCCTGGTTCTTGGCAGCTCTGATGAAATCCAAGCTGAGCTAGCCCGACAGTGGGCAGGACAGGGAATGAGAGGAAAACAGAGGTGAGCTGGGGCCCAAAAGCAGCTGGAATGAGTGGACCTTTTTTTTCTCCACCCCCCACACTCACCCCCCAAGTTCTGCCCCATAACCCATCCTTCCCCCCTGAGGCAGAGAAAAAAGAATACCAAACCCCCACCCCTGGCCTCAGCTAGAGGGAAACAAAAGAGTCCTGCCTCTTGCCCAGAGGAGTCGCTTAGCATATCAACAAGGCAGTCATTAAGGTTTGAGCTGAGCAATCACCAAAACCTGAAAAATTTTTCCACCCTCAGCCAAGCAGTTGGTGTGAAAAAATTACCAGAAGCTAGTGAAAAAAAAAAAAGAAGAAAACCTATGACAAGGATGTGACCTAAAATTTATTCTAAATATTTTTTCTTTGTTTGGGTACGATCACACTTGCAGGAAAATCTGTGTGCTCTTGATTTAAAGAATCACAGAATCACAGAATTGTTAGGGTCGAAAGGGACCCCTGGAGATCATCTAGTCCAACCCCACTGCCAAGGCAGCGTCACCTAGAGCAGGTGACATAAGAACACGTCCAGGTGGGTTTTGAATGTCTCCAGAGAGGGAGACTCCACAACCTCCCTGGGCAACCTGTTCCAGTGTTCTGCCACCCTCAATGTAGAGAAGTTCTTCCTCATGTTGAGGTGAAACTTCCTGTGTCTTAGTTTATGGGTTTTGTTCTGCATCGTGTCTCTGGGCACCACTGAAAAGAGTCTGGCACCATCCTCTTGGCACCCACCTTTGAGATATTTAAATGCATTAATGAGATCCCCTCTCAGTCTTCTCTTCTCTAAACAGGCTCAGCTCCTGCAGTCTCTCCTCATATGAGAGATGCTCCAGACCCTCATCATCTTTGCAGCCCTCCACTGGCCCCTCTCCAGTAGCTCCTTGTCTTTCTTGTACTGAGGACCCCAGAAATGGACACAGCACTCCAGATGTGGCCTCATTAGGGCTGAGTAGAGAGGCAGGATCACCTCCCTCAATCTGTTGGCCACAGTCTTCCTGATGCCCCCTAGGATACCATTGGCCCTCCTGGGCTCAAGGGCAAGTTGTCCAAGACTCCCAGATCCTTCTCGGCAGAGCTGCCTCCAACCTCTGCTAGTACTTGGGATTATTCCTCTCCGATGCAGGACCCTACACATACCCTTGTTGAACTTCATTAGGTTTCTCTCCACCCAACTTTTCAGCCTATCAAAGTCCCACTGAATGACAGCACAGCATTCAGATGCATCAGCCGCTCCCTCCAGCTTTGTATGATCAGCAAACTTGCTGAGGGTACATTCTATCCCCTGGTCCAGGTCATTGGATCTCATTAATGCATATAAATATCTCAAAGTTGAACAAGGCTGGACCCAGTACTGATCCCTGGGAAATATCAATGACTGCAGGCCCCAACTGGATTCCACTTGGCTGATCATGATTTTCTGAGCTCTGCAATTCAGCTAGTTCTTGATCCACCTCACTGTCCATTCACTGCCTGAGCTTACCTATGAGGATATTATGGGAGACAGTGTCAAAAGCATTGCTGAAGTTGAGGTAGACAACATTCCACTGCTCTCCCCTCATCGACCCATATGGCCATCTCATCTGAGAAGGCTATCAGATTGGCCATAGAGAGAGTTACCTGCTGCTGCAGTAGCAGAAGACATCTCGTCATTGAAGCCGCCTGGGGTTTCTGCTGTGTGTAACAAATGGAGAGAACACAAGGTTGCTATGGGCGTGGTGCTTCTGCTGCTTGGATAGAACGCAGCCGGGCCTAGGGACTCAGGCTGTGAGTGTGGGGGCTCATCTGAAGCTTTAATTTTGAGCAGCACTTTCTTTTCTGCAGTGACATGGGCCAGGAAAGGTCACAACCTTTCCTTGCAGTGGTACACAAGCGAAGTACTGTTGTTGGTGCCTGCTGCAGCAAGCCTTCAACACAGCCCTGGGCAGGTGTCATAACATTGTGTGGTGGTCTCTGAGATACAGGCTGCCAGAGACTCAGATAAGATTGCTACATTTCCTCTTATTCAGGGCGAAAGGTATGTTCTTGTTGCTTTTATCCATAACTATAAGATCCAGTTAGCTATGTGCAGTGCTTTGTTTCAGAAAGAAAGTAAATTGGGCTTTACACTTGTAGCACAGGAGGGGGAGAACAGGGAAAATGTGTCGTGTAACTCCCTGGAATGCATAACCTCCACCTGTGTCAAGTGGTACCTGGATCCTTCACCTGCAAGGCTAAAGCTCTGATTGACGTTGGCAGCATCCAGGCTTCACCCGCAAGGGCCACATTTGCAAAGATTCTCAGGGATTGTGTACCCTTCCCATCTAGGTTCTTCAACCTTTTTAAGATTTTGTTGTCATTGTTATTTGCTTTTTTTTATTTTGTTCTAAATCATGGCTGTGTATAGAATTGCTAGAAATCCAGGAGTTGTAGCATAATAACTGTTTTCTCTGTGTGTGTATATGCATCTGTGTATGCATTTGTGTATAAATAAACTTCTAGTCCTGACATTCTAGGAAGTGTTGTTACAGCATACTGGTCCAGATGGGATCATTATGAGCACTGTATAAAATATATATCCTTCCAGATGTCCTTCCAGATATAGCACATATGTTGCATTTATAATGCATTATAATGCATCATTAAGACAGTCTAAGAATTTGGGTTAATTGCTCTCCACTGCTAACTTGAAAGGACGGACTTTTATTTTTCTGATGAGAATTTACAAATCAACCTCATGATGTGAAACTAGATATTGTTTTGACATCTTTTGCCTCAAACTAATGAAAGGTACTAAGATAAAATACTTGACAAGCAATACCCTAGATGATACAGTGTTTAGACTCAGGCATAAAAAAGCAAGTAGAGAGCAGAACACAGTGAAAAATGTCTGACAGCTAGTATTAATTAGATAGGTTCAGGTTCACCAAGTTGAGGTGACCAGAGAAAAACTCTTCAAACTACTGCTTCAGTGGGAATATTCAGTTCTGCTCAAGGGTGATCTGACTGAATGACACACTAATGATTTTTGAACAAGAAAGTCTAATCCTTTCTGCTGCTCTTGCTTCATAGTGCTCTCTGTGCTCTCATAGCATCAAGCCTAGGAGCAGGACTCATTCTCCTCTGTCCATGCTTTACAGATTACAACCAGACTCCCAAAGGTAAAATTCACAGGCATCCCTGCTAAAGAAATGGCAACCTTGTCCCATGATATTTCTCAGGTAATTAATGCTTTGCTAGTAGTTCCCAGCCCCTTCTTGGGCCACTAACTCTCTTACCTCATCATCCATTCTCCAGAGAATGCAATTGATCTCAGTTATTAGTTATTAATATTAGTAAATATTAGTGGATTGACTTATTTTCCATTTTATTTATACATAATAGTGTACTGACACAAAAACTATGTAAAAAGGAGATATTAAGAGATACCTGGGTTGCAAAGTTAAGGAACATAATGGATGCCAAAATGACAGTGTTTTGACCAGTCTTATTTAGCATAAGCATTGCAAAATCATCATCTCTAATTACGAGATGACATATCCTACTTCTGGCCCAGGTCCTCTGCCTTACCTAATACTGAGCACCCAGCTCTGAATCCTCACTGAAGCTGCAGAGCAGATGGGAGCTCCTTTTTCCCATGATTAGCCTTATTTACATTGCTTTTGGAGATGTCTACCAAGAAAGTCATGGAAGTACCCTGACAAGCAGGGCAAAGTCCCTGTCCTAGTCAGGTCTCCTGTCACTCATCTTACCTCTCCAGATGGCTAGTCCAAACCCTGTTCTCTCAGCGCATGTGAGGATCAGCAAGGTGGTCCATTGTTGACTAGCACCTCTGCCAGATGCCTGAGAGCCTGATTTCTCAGCCAGGCCAGGCAATGCCCTGCCCCAGACTTGTTGAAGGCTGCAGAGAGGATCAACTGCTTCTGAGTCAGCAGCTGGAGCTCTGGGCAGCTGCAGCACATGTAGCAAACCTCTGGTGTGTAAGTTGCCCCAGTCTGGACAGATTTTTATGGGAACTGCAAAGATATTTTAAATAACCAAGGTTGATCCTCCCTTCCTTATCTCTGTCTCATATTTGGCTCCCATCTTAGGCATCTTCCAAGAAGGATTCAAGTGATTCAAGTAATTTCAAGCAATTTCTATTTTTCCCCCGACTCTCTTCTCAAACAAATGTAGCTGGTTTTGCTGAAAAACCCCACAAAGATTGTAATGGACATCCAGTATGGAGAACTTAAACTGGAACAGTCTGTCTGGGAAAGCTGAAATACAAAGCATAAGCATGCATTGTATTCTAGAGGAGGGTTAGTTAGGTAATTAAGTACATGGCATGTTAGTAGTATTTATGATGTCTTCTGAGGAGAGGAACAGCACCTGAGATTGGGATATTGGGACTGCTGTATAAAGAGTGGTGATGCATTCTTTCTATTCACATAAGAATTTTTCTAACACCTCATTAGTTTGTTAAAACCAGGTAGCAAATCTTGAATAAAATAATGGCAATGGTCCCAGAATAATTAACCACAAATTACAAAGTCTGTTTAGTTTAAAAACACACACACTAAACAGGGTACCATTTATTGTGATGTTTGCTGTCATCTCTGAATGTGCACGTTGACTTATTAATGATTTTGAGGTATAGTGAATTGTTATATCTTCCTGCTATAATTAGTATTTCTTTTCAGCAGCTGTTGAAAGTTGTTGGTTTTGTGATACATGATTTGTTTTTGTTGTTTTTTGAATAAACTATTTTAGGTACAAGAAACATTAACAGTGAACCATCTGTTTTGGGATACATTAAGAGCTCATTTAAAGATGGCATTTGAATAATCACATTCTCATTTTGAAGTTTTAAAAGGAGAACTTAGTTTTTAAACAACTGATGACTCATGTTAATGTTTTGTGTTTTCCCCCCTTACAGAATCAATAGTGTTTCTCTGTGAAAGAGAAGAATTCTGTCACTTGGATGTTTTTCAAACTTTCAACCTTCCCTAAATCATTTGTATTCCTCCAATCCCTGGAACAAGAAGTAATACACTTAGAAGGATTGTGATGGGCAGGTGCCTAAGT